TCAGTTTCATCCCTCTGCCCTCTCTCAAGACGCAGCCCTGGGTGGAGAAGGAAAAAGTCATATATCCTCTGCCCGCCTCCATGGAATGTGCTCCGACTGGGATGACGGAGACAGGCCACCCAGGGCGGGGCCCCACCTGAGAGGGGCACTGGAAGTAACTGGGGTCTGGGTGCCCCGCTGGGGTGCAAGGAGAGGCAGGGGATTTCCTAACCCAGGTAGGCTCAACAGAAGTTCTCCCCCCACAGCACCCCCGAGACCGCTGAGTTCCTGGGTGAGGACCTGCTGCAGGTACGTGCCTGGGCTGGTGGCTTTGGAGGAGGCAGGCCCCTGCAGGCTGACAGTGCAGAGGGCCGGGCGGGGAGGCCACTTAGGGGCCCAGGTTGAGTCATTCTCCAAGCTGTTGGCCATGGGTTCCCCAGGGGAAGCTGGAAGGTTCCTGCTCTGAGGGAAACAGCCTCGCTTGACCCTTAACCCCTACCTCCCTCCCAGGTGGAGCAGCGGCTGGAGCCAGCCAAGCGAGCAGCCCATAATGTCCACAAGCGACTGCAGGCCTGTCTGCAGGGCCAGAGCGGGGCCGACATGGACAAGCGGGTGGTGAGTGGGGTCCCGGGAAGGGAAGACCTGAGCAAGAGACTTCCGTCCAGTGGGGGAACAAGGTTAGGGCTGGGGTCTTCCTGCCAGTCTGAGCCTCTGGCATCAAGGCCTGCAGACTTCTCCGTCCCAAGGCCCCTCTGGCACCACTCATGAGGCCCTATGTCTTCCCTGTTCCTTTCTTGACCCCACCCCTCTCTGCACCAGTCCCCTCAAGCCAAGGCCAGGTCTCTGGCGCGCCTGAACTTTTCTATCCGATCAGCACCCGGAGCAGGCTCTCAACTAGGCAGCCTGCGAGGGCTTCCCGGGGGAAGTGGCGTTTGAACTGGATTTTGAGTGATAGTCTGGCATTAATCAACAGGCAGCATTGAGTGGCCCATTGCTGCTAGTCTGTTGCTAAGATATGTCAGTGCATTTTCTCACTGAATACTGACAACAACCCTAGGGGGAGGCCCTGTGCACAGATGAGGAAGTGGAGGCTGAGAGGTAAAGTTACTCACCCAAGGTCACACAGCTAGAAAGTGGCAAAACTGAGGTTTGAACCCAGGTCTCTCTGATCCCAAAGCGAGTGCTCTCTGTAACTCCAGCTGGGAGTGTATGGATCATGTTTTGGAATCAGCTGACGATGTAATGTAGCCAAAGATGGAGCAGAAAGCAGGGGTTCCGGGATTGGAGACCCATAGAGCCACATACAACTTAGGGCAGGAGAAAGCACCCCTACTCCAAGGCCAGCCCCTCCTTCCATTCTCCCTCCAACTGTGTGACCTTGGGCAAGCTCCCTTCCCTCTCTGCATCTTAGCTTCCTGATCTGTGATAGGACTTGATCATTCCTTTCTGCCTAATCATGTGGCTGCTGGGAGCTGGGAAAGGGGACCCCAGATGGGTGGGGGCTCTTTTCAGGGTCACAGGAAAATGTCACCCTCAGTACATCTTATCATCATCCTATTTTCGCTCTGACCTGTGACTGTGGCCCAGTGCTGGGTTCCCTCCTCCCCTGCCCCAAGGGGATCGCCCAGTGCCCAGGCAGGGCAGAGGGAGACATGTACCCTCACAGCCGGCCCTACCCTCCCTGCAGAAGAAGCTTCCCCTCATGGCTCTATCCACCACAATGGCCGAGAGCTTCAAGGAGCTGGACCCCGATTCCAGCATGGGGTGAGCACAGACGGGGTCCAACACTCACCTGGGGGTGTCAGGAAGCAATCTGGACTGGGAGGGGTCCAGGCCAGCAAGGGCATCCATGTCAGATGAATGACCAGACTGGAGACAGCGCCCAGGCCAGTGAGGACGGCCGGGCCAGGGTGGGTGTTCAGGTCAGTGAAGATGGAGGAGAGACAGGAGAGGCAGGAGGTGATGGGGCAGGGGGTCCCCACCAGGTGTTTCCGATAGGGGCAAGGGGCTGCAGGAGCCTGGGCCCACTGGGCACTGTGTCCGCAGGAAGGCCTTGGAGATGAGCTGTGCCATCCAGAACCAGCTGGCCCGCATCCTGGCCGAGTTCGAGATGACCCTGGAGAGGGATGTCCTGCAACCGCTCAGCAGGCTGAGTGAGGTGACCCTACCCCCAGACCCCAGCTTCCCAGCCTCTGGCTCCCTCCTTCCCCAGCCCACCGAACCCCCATGCCTTCCCCCAGGAGGAGCTGCCAGCCATCCTCAAGCATAAGAAAAGCCTCCAAAAGCTCGTTTCCGACTGGAATACCCTCAAGAGCAGGTGGGAGCCACAGACTCTGCGTGGGGCCCTTGCCTGCGTCAGCCCGTGCAGATGGCCATAGAGCTTTGAGGCCCTGGCCACACCAGGACACTGCAGGGTCCACTGGGCAGTGTGTGGACTTGTGCCTACCTCTGGTCCGTAGGAACATGTGGTGAGGGTGTGTGCCCGTCACAGCTGGTATTGGGGGGTGACCCCGAAGCCTAGGGTAGTCATAAACAATCCTCCAAGATCCCTGGAAGGCAGGGGGGTGCCCTACCCTCCACTCTGGAGCTGGGTGGCTGTGATCACCAAATCCACCACCAGGGGGCGGCCCAGGCAGGGCAGAGGCCCAGGGCTGGTGGCGCTCTGGGATTTGCGTGCATGATCCTAGAATCCTGTGTGGTCAGGGGTATGGAGGGGACACTTGGCTCTGAAAAGGCGGCAGGGCCAGTGACCAGCCCACCTCGGAATCGTCCCCAGGCTCAGTCAGGCAGCCAAGAACTCAGGCAGCAGTCAAGGCCTGGGCGGCGGCCCGGGCAGTTACAGCCACACCACCACGGCCAACAAGGTGGAGACGCTGAAGGAGGAGGAGGAGGAGCTGAAGAGGAAGGTGGAGCAGTGCAAGGTGAGGGGGCACTTGGGGTTCCCCAGGCATGTGGGGGTGGCAAGGGTGGGACCTGTCCCCATTTTATAGACAAGGAAACTGAGGCTTGATGTGCCTTGCCCAAGGCCGTGCAGTCAGGGAGGAGCAGAGCTGGGGTGTGAGTCTGTGTGTTTAGCCATCACTTTGTCTTCTTCTTTTTTTTTTTGAGTTGGAGTCTCACTCGGTTGCCCAGACTGGAGTGCAGCGGCCGC